CTATTCCAATTCTTAATACTCTTTGAACTTGAAGCCATAAACTTTATGTTATCATATTATCACATTTGGAAGAGCGTTTAGGAAGTTCAGAGTCCGAAGAAATGTTTCTAAGATAGTGTAATGTCTGAACATACCCTCTGTAGCCTTTTCTCTAATAGACACTGAGATAATTTCCTGGAAATAATAAAACTGTCTCTGGCCATTTAAATGCAAAGGCTAATCAAATTCTTGCCTCCTGTGGCCTAAGTGATCATCAGAAGACAGTTTAATAAATAATCCCATCTCCACAAAATTGCCTCCATATTTTTCTCCCAACATTCAACTCTCTTTAAACATGAAATGTGCTCTCTGATAACCAATCCCCACCCGGTAATGCACCTCCAACCTCTTTCACTCACCTGAATGTCCTTCAACACCAATTTCACCATGTAGTTTATAAAAGAACATACTTCCCCTTATTGAGAAACACAGTCACGGGTTTTGGAAGAGTTTACCCAAATTCCCCAACTCCATCTTGAGAGACCCCCAAACAAAAAGATCATTTGTAGAACTTCACCAGGTCTCTTAGTAGCATTAAAGCTTGATTCTCTAAAAGTAGAAGTAAAGAGAAAATCTTCATGTGGAAGGAATAACTGAACATCACAGTCTTAATTCCCATTGCAAAAGTTATCTTCTTGTGGATCTTAGCTGGATATTATGAAGGAAGTCAAAAAGTTTTACAACTGTCCGTGTTCAAAAGCCACCCCGCCCCCCATCCCCAGACATGCTTGGGCATGTTCTGGTTCCACTCTTCCAGTTTGTATTTATCAACCCAAACTCCCAGTCCATCCCTCTCCCCCGCCCCTCTCCCTTGACAACCACGAGTCTGCTCTCTGTATCTGTGAGCCTGTTTTGGTTTTGTAGGTAGGTTTGTATGTGCCTATCATATGTGCCCTTACTCTCTGCTTTATCTTTTGTACTCCTTGGTGATGGTTTTGTCACTGTCGTGTCCAGCTCTTGCGGCCCCATGGACTGTAGCCTGCTAGGTTCCTCTGTCCATGGGATTTTCCAGGCAAAAATACTGGAGTGGGTTGCCATTTCCTTCTCCAGGGAATTTTCCCAACCCAGGGGTCAAACCCCAGTGTCCTGCACTGCAGGCAGATTCTTTACCAACAGACCTACCAGGGAAGCACCTTGTATCACTCTACTTGTTTATTGACCTTAAGCAAGTCACTTAACCTAGAAAAGCCTCCTGGTTCTTATCTTTAACTAGAGATAGTGATATATATAAAGGTTGATGTGAGGCTTAGAGCATTTGTAAAAACTGTAACAGAGTGATGATATACGTAAGATATCTTTCTTCTACCTCATACAGAACAGGTGTGCAAAAATATTAGTTCTCCCTTAGGGCCATTTGATCATCCTGAGTATCTTAATTCTCTTTCCCATCCCAGTTCTTGCTACTGTACCTTACAAGGTACCTTAGTGGTAGCAGCTAAAATGACCCTCAGTTGCTAGCTGCCCCACCCCCCAATTTTATTTCAAAACTCAAATAGCTGGAGTGTTTGTTTGGCCTGGAGTTATTCCTGCTACAGACAGCTTCCGCCGAGCTGGCAGAGGACGTTTGCTGAGCGCAGCCTCCCTGCCTCCTGCCAGCCACAGGTGGCAGCTGCCCCTGTACGGCCTTGCTCTGCAGGGGGACACACTGGGCATGCCATAGGACACCTTGGTACCAAGGTCAAAGCGTCTCTGCTTGCAGAGCGGGCACATCAGCCTGCAGAGCTGGCTCAGATGAGACTGTGGTGTTTTGGTTTTTTTTTTTTTTTTGGCCTTTTTTTTTTTAATGAAGTGTAGTTGACTTACAATGTTGTACTAATTTCTGCAGAGTGATTCACTTATACACACACACATATATACGTATATTCTTTTTTTATATTCTTTTCCAATATGGTTTGTCATAGGATATTGAATATAGTTCCCTGTGCTATATACAGTATGACCTTGTTGTTTATCCATCCTAAAGCTAATAATTTGCATCTACCAACCCCAAATTCCCAGTCCATCCCTCTTCTCTCCCTACTCTCAACTTAGCAACCACAAGTCTGTTCTCCTTGTCCATGAGTCTGTGTTTTGTAGATAGGTTCATTTGTGCCGTATTTTAGATTCCACATATCGTATGGTATTTGTGTGTCTCTGTCTGACTTACTTCACTTATGATAATTTCTAGGTCCATCCATGTTGCTGCCAGTGGCATTGTTTCATCCTTTTTTATGGTTGTGTAGTATCCCATTGTATGCACGTACCACATCTTCTCTATCTTCATCTGTTGATGGATCATTTAGGTTGTTTGCCTGCTTTTGCTCTTTTGACAGTGCTGCTATGAGCATAACTGTGCATGTATTTTTTGAATTATAGTTCTGTCTGAGTATATTCCAAGAAGTAGGATTGCTGGATCATATGATCATTCTGTTTTTATAAACTGTTATTATTTTGTCTTACTTGATTGTTTTCCTTGGTTTCTACATTTTCTTACTTCTCTGATTAAATTTGCTGTTTGGAACTTGGGGAAGGCCTAGGAGGCTAAAGCTTTTCTATTCAGATGAGAGGTCAGGAACACAGGGCCCTGTCTCTGAGAAGGCCCCACAAGGTCCAGCTGCATTTCAAATCCACGGTTAGAGGTGGAGGTTTCAACACCCCCTGTCAATTGATAGATGTGGTCTCCCTCATCACTGAACTCCTGGGGTACTTATTCAATTCGATTAAGCACTAGATATAGTAGCAACCATGAGCTTACATCCCTATACAGGCCAGGAAATCTCATGAAAATGTTAAACTCCTTCATTGCAGTTTCTGTGTGGCATTTTTTCCTCAAGACCCATATGTCTGCATATTAAAACATATAGGGATATTCATTCCACAAAGAAACAGGTTTTCCCCAGAGGTTACATTCACAATGTTTAACAAAAGGCCTTTCGCCTGGGTTCCCAAGTTGGAAGCCTCTTGGCTGTATTGATGGAGTGGAATCTTTCTGGGGGAGGGAGGGGGGAGGGAGGATGCAGTCAGTCCAGTGCCCAGGGCAGTGCACCCAAGGGGTCAGCGGCGGCTGCTCATGAGCCAGTATGGACGTGTTTCTCATGTTGTATTCATAAGTATTCAGCATGTGCCCGCTGAATATTAACCTTGGCTGTCTCTCATTGTTCTAAGCATGAGGGCTTCTTGGCCTATTCCTTGTCTTCCTATTTTTGATAGAGACATCTTATTCATCTATAAGCACATTTCCCATCCAAAGCAGGCAGCCTTCATTCAGCTCCAGCCAAATGCTTTGTGCCATTTGAGACTTCCAAGTTTTCAAGAAAAGTTAGAAATGTACATATCTGTATTGAATCTTTAATGTTGGCTCCACGACTTGTAAATTTCTGTGCAGGTCAACCACTGTGACCTCTAGCCTATGGAATGTGTGTCATACAACAGGCCTTACACGTGTTCACAAAGATGTGAATTTTGCCCTGAAGGGACCAACATCTGATGGAGAGACTGACAACCAAAGATGGTTTTATTGGTGGGGGTGTAACTGCATTGTGTAACAAATCGCTCTTTCCCGTGTGTGTGCTTTATCACGTGACGCGGCACGAGGGTTCTCTGCTGTCGTTGTCCCTGGCACCAAGTGCCCTGCTCATATAATATTTTGACTGGGTTGTCGTCCTTGTGATCTCTTGCTCAGTCTATAAGCTGAGATGAACATGTGAGGGCATAGATGTGAAGCCATTTCAATTAAGTCATCGTCTCTCAGCATAATCAGTCTTATAGTAAGTTCTCTGCAGACAGTAGACAAGAAAGAAACCCTTCTGGAATCGAACCAACATGATCTGCTATGTAGAGGTTTGTTAAAGACACAGGCTACATGTGAGAACAGAGCAGAAGGAAATGTAAAAATGCAGGGCTTTCTTGTGAGACTCATATGGGAAATCAAATTTGGAAGACTGCTATGGCTAGCACCTCATTCTCAACGTTTATCTTCAGTGCCAAATGATTACTTCTGGAATCAAATGAAATACAAAGGCCGAGGCCAACACTCAATTAGATGATTTTGCCAGAAAGTAAAATATCTAGCTGTAATACATTACCTAATATAAGAATTTCTAGAAAACACTTATCAATAATAAGTAGTTAAAAGATTCTACAAAATAGAATAATAATAACTGAAAAGGGGAAGAACTCATCCATGTAAATGAAGCATCAAAACAACTTTTTTCTCTATAACCATAGCAAGATCATCCAGTTTTACCCATAGGTCAATCAAATAAGCAAGTATTATAATTATCTCATTCAATCCAGGTTAGATTTTTTTACTGATGCTCTTATAAAATTAGCATGTGCATGCATGCTAAGTAGATTCAGTGGTGTTGGTCTCTTTGTGACCCTGAAAACAATAGCCTGCCAGGCTCCTCTGTCCATGGGATTCTCCAGACAAGAATATTGGAGTGGGTTGCCATCCCCTCTTCCAGGGGATCTTCTCCACCCAGGGACTGAACCCACATCTCTTATGTCTGCTGCATTGGCAAGCAGGTTCTTTACCACTAGCGTCACCTGGGAAGCCCCCAAATTAGCACATGTTCATATAAAGAAAGAATTCAAAGTGTATAAAATAAAAGCATAGTTTCGCCTTTCTTCACCACCCTGCTCCAAAGTGTAAATACAACTGGTACCTTAGTTCATTTCCTTCCAGGCCTTCTTCTCTGCTCTCTCAAAACATATGTATCTGGTTCTTCTTTTGCAAAACATTAGAATTATACTCCATACTTTTCTGAAAATTAACGTTTACCTTCCTGTTCAGTCAGTTCATATTGGTCTACCCCGTTCTCTTTTAAGGCTACATGGTATTTATAGTATTGATAGACTATCCTTTGTTTGCCTGTTTCTCTGTCGTGAACCATTTAAGTTGTATCCAGTTTTCTACCGTTATAAACAATGCTACAGTAAATATCAGATTTATATTTCAGTCTGCTTTTTAATTTTAACAGGACTATGGAAACTGAAGTCATTACAGAGTTTGGATCTGTCATTCAACAGGATATCACAGATTGATTTGTCTGATTTTCATGACTGCCTGCAACTGGAAAACCTCCATTTAAAGAGCAACAGGATATTCAGAATTCATCCAGAAGCCTTCAAGGACCTAAAAAAATTACAGGTTAGAAAATAAAGTTTATAACATCTCAAATATGTGGACCTACAGGCAACTATATTAGAAGAATATTTTCATTGAAGAGTTTCCACATGCCCAGTAGTACTGGCTACTAATCAAAAAATATAAGTCTATTTTAAGATTCCCCTTAAAAAGTTGAAGTCTCTCTCTTGCCTCAAAACTCCAAGGCCTCAGTAGTAGACATGAATTTTATTTGAACATTAATACTCAGCAGCGAGAATAGGCACATTATTTTTCCTAAGTCAAATTAAACCCAGCTCCAAGCTGTCACTTACCAATTGGCAAGAAAATGAACCTCAGTTATTAGCAAGGCTCCCTCCCTAAATTACAAGGTCAGTCAAATATCCCTGGTGTTTGATGCAGTTTGGGATGCTATGGGCCTGTATGGGCCCTTCACCCTTTGGGCCCAGGACCACAGGAATCTCAGAAGGCCAGTGACCCTGGTGCCTCCACACCAAAACTGGACACAAAATAATACAAACAATAATGATACCAACATATACTTGCATCGCACATACCACATGCCACATATGGTTCTAAACATCAGAGCAGTGTGGGGGGACCAGTGTCACACTTTAGAGCCCTGCTGCCTGTCTCTCGGGCACGCTGCAGTGCATCTCACCAAGGTCCTGACGTGCTGACAGCTGTGCATGTGAGAACTCCTGGAGCCCTGCTCTAGTTCTGACAGCTCTAGCCCTTTCTCCTCCAAGCCCCTTTCTCCCACCTCCCCTCTTTTAGGAGATACTATAAAATCTCTCCTCAGTGCGCCTTCAGAAATACCAACGTGGCCTGCAGTGTGGCACCCAGAGATGCCTTGTGCTGTGCTTCGTCGCCCAGCCATGTCCGACTCTTTGTGACCCCATGGACTGCAGCCCGCCAGGCTCCTCTGTCCATGGGGATTCTCCAGGCAGGAATACTGGAGCGGGTTGTCATGACCTCCTCCAGGGGATCTTCCGCACCCAGGGGTAGAACCCAGGTCTCCCACGTTGCAGGCAGATTCTTTACTGTCTGAGCCACAGGGAAGCCCAGAGATGACTTAAGAGCAGCCTAAGCCCCCGTGCCTGTGACCTGCACCACACACCCCCATTCTTTACACAGACCACCATCATCCAATAAAAACAGTGTGAGCCACATAGGCAGTTTTAGATGTTCTTGGTAACTAGATTTAAGAAGTAAAAATAAGCAGGTAAATTTAATTTTATAATATGTTTTGTAACCTAGTATACTCAAATACTGTCTCTTAGAATGGAGTCAATATAAAAATTATTAAAATATTTGGAGTCAGTCCTTTATAAACATAGACTACACACAGAAATTCTCAAGTGGCCAGGATGCCCTACTCCTTTAACATACAAATCTGATTGGCCCCTGCCTGCGCCTCCAGGTTCATTTCAAGCCACACTCCTCTTGCTAACTGCTTTCCTGCCCAGTTTTCACCCCAAGCCCTCCCATCTTGCTAACCCTTTTGCCTGAAAGCATGAACTCTTACTAATCCTTCCAACATCACTTCCTCAAGGAAGCCTTCCTTGGGCCTGTGGTTTGATTTCTTTCCTTTTTTCCTTTTTAATAGGATATGATTTTTCCTTATTGTACATATGGAGTCCGAAATTATTTCATTTTAGGTATGGTTAACTGTTAATGCTTGTGTCCCTATAGTCCTTCTACCAGGTGCAGATCTCTTTGAGAACATATGGGTGTGTGTGTTCAGTTGCTAAGTCATGTCCGATTCTTTTGTGACCCCATGCCAGGCTCTTCTGTCTCTGGGATTTCCCAGGCAAGAATACTGGAGTAGGTTGCCATTTCCTTCTCCAGGGGATCTTCCCGGCCCAAGGGTTTGAACCTGTGTCTCCTGCATTGCACACAGATTCTTTACCACTGAGCCACCAGGGAAGCCCCTTTGAGGACATACATTATGTCTATTTTGTTTTCTAGTGCTTAACATCTGTCTAGATGTTTATTTATTCAAACAAATAAATAAATATTTATTGAATATATATATATATTGAATATATATATTCATTGAATATATATTTATCGAATATATATATAATATTTATTGAAATATTATTGAATAAATAAATATTTATTTATTTATTCAAACAAAAGAATGAATGGATAGATGATGATCATGCATACGTGTGTAAGTTATCTATTGCTGTATAACAAATTACTGCAAACTTAGCCATCTAAAACTACACACATGTAATTATCTCACCTTCTGTGGATTAGCAGTCCAGGCAAGGCTTGGCTGGGGCCTCCGCTGAAAGTGTCTCAAGAGATTGCAGTCAAGATGTTGGCCAAGGCTAGAGTCTCACCTGAAGGCCCAGCTGAGGAATGATTCACTCCAAGCCCACGTGGTTATTGGCAGGATTCAGTTCCACCTGGGCTATCACGCTGAAGGCTCAGTTCCTTCCTGGCTATCAGCATCAGCCTGCGCTTCTTTCTGTGCCATGTGGGCTTCCAAGCAGCAGGACACGGCATGGCAGCTGGCTTCAGCGCCCGAAGGAGAAAGCCTGCTTGCAAGAACATTACAGTCTCATGGAATGTGATCATGGGAGAGAGGTCTCACTGCTTTCAGCATAGTCTATTTGTTAGAAGCAAAGCAACACAAAGAACAAATATTAAAAGCAGCAAGGGAAAAACAACAAATAACACACAAGGGGATTCCCATAAGGATAACAGCTGACCTTTCAATAGAAACTCTTCAGGCCAGAAGGGAATGGCAGGACATACTTAAAGTAATGAAAGAGGATACCCTACAACCCAGATCACTGTACCCAGCAAGGATCTCATTCAGATATGAAGAATTCAAAAGCTTTACAGACAAGCAAAAGCTGAGAGAATTCAGCACCACCAAACCAGCTCTTCAACAAATGCTAAAGGATCTTCTCTAGACAGGAAACACAGAAAGGTTGTATAAACGTGAACCCCAAACAACAAAGTAAATGGCAACAGGACCATATTTATCAATAATTACCTTAAATTTAAATGGGTTGAATGCCCCAACCAAAAAACAAAGACTGGCTGAATGGATACAAAAACAAGACCCCTACATATGCTGTCTACAAGAGACCCACCTCAAAATAATGGACACATACAGACTGAAAGTGAAGGGCTGAAAAAAGATATTCCACATAAACGGAGACCAAAAGAAAGCAGGAGTCACAATACTCATAT